TTAGGCGCATAATATTTCAATTTTTCTAGAAGCAAATTGGCCTTCATTTGGCGGCGTTAGTGTTCAGGTGGTTAAGTAGAGTGGCAGAGTCGTTTTACCAGTCGTTTTGTTGTAGGTGTGGTTAGCGCGCACGGTTGTCAGCGAACGTTATTATTACTATTGGCGCTATTTGCATTCTGTGTAGCATACTACAGTTACCAGATGCGCTGCATATTACCCTTAATATTAAGTCATACTTATAGGCATGTATGCACATATCTGTATTCGTATGGAATAGTAGCTTATGTCGAAAGGCTGGCTTTAGTATAATGCAGCATTCGTAGCATACGATAGCGAATGACTCACTGGCGCCGAGCCGTTGAAGAACATTTGGCAAATGAACGTGCAAGAAATAGTTCCGATTGGAACGGTTAAGGCGTGTCAAAAAATTAAAATAAATTTTTTTTGTTCATCTAGTACCCAAAATCGATACTACCGTAGTCGAAAATATCACATATAAATTTGGCCCCAATTGGAGTCGGTTAATACGTTTTCATAGGGTAATCTGAACTTTTACCCCTTTGCGACACGCCTTAGCCGACTCCAATCGGTGTCAAATTTATATGTGATTTCTTCGACTAAAGTAGTTTTGATTTTGGTTATTAGATGAAAAAAAAATTATTTTAATTTTTTGAGTCGTTGAGACCAAAACTTAGGGGTTGAGGCTAATGAAACCTAGGGTAAAAATTTCTCTCGTACATTTAAGGACCACCCTAAATAAACATATGTAAATGTAAAATCAACTTAAATAGTACTGAAAATTGAAATTACATTTAAGCTGAATCCTCAGTGCGCCCAGTGTCACTTTTGTGCGCCGAAGGCAAGCTTCGAGTACGCTTTATTCAAGCGGCCATAGCTGAAATCCTGCTGAAGTGGCGCTACTCTGCGCATGTGAGTATGTGCATATGGATGTGTGCGTGTATCCATATGTATTGTGTAAATATTGTCGTAACGGCTGACAATGTTGATACCAATCAGTGCAGTGGCCCAAATGTGCTGCTCATAACTTGTCCAATTATGTCAGTCAGGCAGGTCGATTTCCTGGCCGCCTGACTGGCTAGCTGGCTGACTGGCTAGCTGGCTGACTGGCTGACCATTTCCGTTCTGTATCCACTCATTCAGTTAACTATAATAACCATCAAAGGTTTGCGCAAAAAAAAAAAATAAAAGTAAGCAAACAGAGCAGCAGTCAAGGGCTTATATTCAGCTGGTTTTTCATTTAATCACCATAACCATGTTGTTGTGATACCTCGCCTTCTTTCACTTGACTGAAGTGTTGCAATTAATGCGCATTTATTTGTAAAGCCAGTCACGCCCATCCACTACCGTACCGTACCGGCGAGAGCGGTGGGAGCAGCCTGAGCGTCGAATAAAATGCATTTTTACACCTGCCAACTGGGCAAAAAGCTACTAGCAAACAGCTAGTTAACAATGCATAAGAACTTCATTTTTATGTTGAACATTTACAGATTATCCTGCAGTTAACTAACTGGGCGTTCTGTGCTTTTCCATACATACTAAGTGTAGCTGCACGTTGAAGCGCCTGTCTGTCTGTTCGCCATTTTCCCTTTGGTGTAATAAATATTAATACCATTGCAAAGGTCTTTCACTGCTACATGTTTTCATTGCTAACTCATTCAGCTAATTGTTGTGTACATATATACATATGTGTGTGTATATATATGCCTTAGCGTTGCTGTCAGTGCGCTTCCGAGGCGCTTAATTTGCCGTCTGTGCGCGTCAGTAATGATGTTACGCCCTTAACTATATTTTTTGTTTATTTATTTTTTTATTGTTGTACATTTTTATTATTACATTAATTTTTTTATTAACTCCCTGCATAGTTTTGCTTTAGCTTCATTACTCAGTTAATCCTTTTACACGTTTTGATATTTTATTGTTTGCAGTAAATTAAAAAAGGCAATTTTCTCTTATATGGCTTTCAATAGAAATATTTTTAAATACACCATAATTAAATGTTATTTAATTTAAGTCTTCCCGCAATTTTTTTTTTTTTTGTAGTATGTAACATTTTTATGCAGCATGACTTTTTACGCTTTGTCACCTTTATTTACATTAAAAATTTAAATTCATATTTTTATTGGTTTTCTTTAATGTCATGGTAAGTCAGGAATATGGCTTCTCAAATTCAAATGCAAAAATTTAATTTGCATATTTATGTAGTTTTTATCAGAAGCTCTGAATTTTTATGCGTTTAATGGATTTTTTTTTTATTTTTATTTATAATAATGCCTTCAGAAGCCCAATTAAATTGAGGTATTGGTGAATTGTATCAACTGGTGATTGAATTGAAATCAGTGTCAATTTCAAATAAAAAATTAGGTCGCAATTAAGTTTAAATGTGATGTTCATACTTAAAGCATCGCTGCATTTTCCTGCTGCCTGCATTGGATATTAACACCAGTTTGTTGGATTAGACGGAATAGTTGACAATGAGTCATAGGAAAATTACAGCGGCAAATAAGAAGAAGAGAAGATACAGTGGTGGACAAACGGTGATTCACGTTTGGCGACTATCTCTTGCTGGTCTCATATGCTTGTAGTTATCATTCAAGCTTAGCTGGAATCCAACAAGAAAAGAACCCTTAGCCAAGAAATTTAAAGCTGCCTTAGAAAATTCTAGTTGACTGTGATCTAAGCCTATCCTGCCTATGAATGGGCAAAAAGTGGGTTTATTTAAGGAATTTTATCTTGAAGATTCCGGTTCTTAATTACAAAACCGAAGCAAATTAAGCAAGATATCTTACCGCATAAGATGCCTTTGCCTTGAAGTTCTCAAATTATTCAAACCTTTTCATAAATCTGGTACTCGATAATCGTCTTATTATAACAACTTTTTAAGAGGTCGCATCCAAAATTTTGAACTTTTCTCACGATATGTTTTATGTGACTGAAATGAAATAAACCACAGAATTTAACCTTACGTATTTGAAGTCGGTAAAGAAACACCCTGCATAAAAGTGAAGGTCTCTCTGTTTGTTCTCTATGGACNAAATGAAATAAACCACAGAATTTAACCTTACGTATTTGAAGTCGGTAAAGAAACACCCTGCATAAAAGTGAAGGTCTCTCTGTTTGTTCTCTATGGACTCATAAGTCTTTTTGATTGCGAGCGCCACTTATCGAGTATTTTTTTTTTGCAAAATATGTTTTTTTTTAAATATTTTTTTTTTTGCAAAATATTTTTTTTTTGCAAAATAATTTTTTTGCAGCATATTTTTTTCAAAATATTTATATTTTTTGTAAAATAATTTTTTTTTGCAAAATATTTTTTTTTTTTCAAAATAATGTTTTTTTTTTAATATTTATTTTTCAAAGTAATGTTTTTTTTAATAATTTTTTGCAAAATAATTTTTTTTTAGAAAACAATTTTTTTTAGAAAATAATTTTTTTTTTTAGAAATTTTTTTTTGAGCAAATTAATTTTTTTTTGCAAAATATTTTTTTTTTTAAAAGAATGTTTTTTTTTAATATTTATTTTTCAAAGTAATGTTTTTTTTAATAATTTTTTGCAAAATAATTTTTTTAGAAAATAATTTTTTTAGAAAATAATTTTTTTTTTAGAAATTTTTTTTTGAGCAAATTAATTTTTTTTTGCAAAATATTTTTTTTTTGGAGATAATAAATTTGAATCAAATCGGTTCGTAAATAAAATATGTTTGATCGCTAACTNGCAAAATATTTTTTTTTTTGGGATAATAAATTTGAATCAAATCGGTTCGTAAATAAAATATGTTTGATCGCTAACTAGTATGTAACTTGGGAATAGAAATCGCTGCATCTTTTAGGCGCACCAATATTACATAGTTACATCCCGAGTTAATAAATGGAAGGTAAAAAGGCTCACACAGTGTTATTTTCTTTTTCTTTTAATTTAAAATTGAAGTTGATATTTCAACGTTTTCTAATATTATTTAAAATCTTAGTTTTTGTATTGTCAAGTTATAATTATTCATTTAATGTTATGCCTGTTTTGCATGTCCTACAAAATATTATTTATTAATTTATGAATTTTTGCATTTTATTTCATTTTTATATTTCCATTTGTGTGCGTATATTATTGCAACTACTACTACTACTCGTACTCCATACAACTGCATTTATTTATGTAAATCTACTGCAACAACTACTACTTGCTTGCCTCTATACTTTTGTATTTGTGCCTGCTGTTTGTGCATCGTATATCGNTTGGGAATAGAAATCGCTGCATCTTTTAGGCGCACCAATATTACATAGTTACATCCCGAGTTAATAAATGGAAGGTAAAAAGGCTCACACAGTGTTATTTTCTTTTTCTTTTAATTTAAAATTGAAGTTGATATTTCAACGTTTTCTAATATTATTTAAAATCTTAGTTTTTGTATATTTAAGTTATAATTATTCATTTAATGTAATGCCTGTTTTACATGTTCTACAAACTATTATTTATTAATTTATGAATTTTTGCATTTTATTTCATTTTTATATTTCCATTTGTGTGCGTATTTTATTGCAACTACTACTACTACTCGTACTCCATACAACTGCATTTATTTATGTAAATCTACTGCAACAACTACTGCTTGCTTGCCTTTATACTTTTGTATTTGTGCCTGCTGTTTGTGCATCGTATATCGTATCGTATCGTATCGCATCATATGCATCGTTTTTAATTTCATTTGTGCCGTAAATTGTATTGTCGTATTGTGTTGCATATCGTTTGTGAACGTCTCATATTGCTGCCGTCGCTCGTCGACGCCCATCGATCCTTCCTGCATATGTCCGCACCACGACTATTTGATAAATGCATGAATATTATTCTGTCCTGCCGCTGCTTGCTTTTCTGTGTGCCCGTTTATATGATTGCGCTGTCATTGGCGCCTTATCGCCGCGATGATTTGATGTGGCTGCAACATGTGGCAATAAATTCAATAATCTATTTGTATGCTGTGTTGTGCGTAGAATTTTGGAAAGCAAAATCAGGTTTGTTTTTATAGTAAATAGTATGTAAATTTTAATTTGTTTAATGTTATTTCATTTAGTGCATTGTTTTTCATATTTTCTATATTTCATTATTTCATTTATCTAAATGCGATTATTATTTCATTAAGTTTTGCTTTAGTAGTTTTTAATTAATAGCCGTACTTTTTGTTTAAGATAAGTGTTTATATGATGGAAAACAAGCAAAATCTTGCCAGCCATTATTTTTAATCAAACAATTATATATTTATGTAATTATTTAATTTTATTTAAGCTCAGTTAATTTGTATTGACAAACATTTTTGGTTGTGCGTAAGAAGTTTCTTTTTGATTACTGGCCAATTTTAAAACTTGACAGCAATTTTTCGACATAAAAAATTTGATTTGCTCATTTTAAAACTGAACACAAATTGTTGGTCATAAAAAACTGGACATACATTTTTGGCCATTTAAAAAGTGTACATAAATTTTTGGTCGTCCAAAAACTTGATATACATTTTTTTTACGTTACAAAGTGCCCATTTGATTTAGACATAAATTTTTGGCCATTTAAAACTTTAACATAAATGTGTGTTCATTTGAAAACTGGACATAAATTTTTGGTCAGNTTGTGAACGTCTCATATTGCTGCCGTCGCTCGTCGACGCCCATCGATCCTCCTGCATATGCGGACGCACCACGACTATTTGATAAATGCATGAATATTATTCTGTCCTGCCGCTGCTTGCTTTTCTGCGTGCCCGTTTATATGATTGCGCTGTCATTATCGCCGCGATGATTTGATGTGGCTGCAACATGTGGCAATAAATCCAATAATCTCTTTGTATGCTGTGTTGTGCGTAGAATTTTGGAAAGCAAAATCAGGTTTGTTTTTATAGTAAATAGTATGTAAATTCTAATTTGTTTAGTGTTATTTCATTTAGTGCATTGTTTTCCATATTTTCTATATTTCATTATTTCATTTATCTAAATGCGATTATTATTTCACTAAGTTTTGCTTTAGTAGTTTTTAATTAATGTACTTTCATTGTTTAAGATAAGTGTTTATAGTATGGAAAACCAACCAAATTTGGCCAGCCATTATTTTTAAGCATACAATTATATAATTATGTGATTATTTAATTTTATTTGAGCTCAATTAATTTGTATTTACAAAAATTCTTGGTTGTGCGTTTCTTTTTGATTATTGGTCAATTTCGGTTTGGAGACAAACCGGTTTCATCTACACGAAAGTTTTGAAGAAACTGAACTTAATCGGTGAATTAAAGACCGGACATAATCCTAATAGTTATTGGCAATTTGAAAACTAGATACAAAATTTTGTTGTGCTAGTTTTAAAAGTTGACAGCAAATTTTTCGACATAAAAAATTTTATTAAACACTATACTCATTTAAAAATGGAACAAAAAATTTGTGGTCATTAAAAAACTCGTAAGTCCAGTTTAAAGTCCATTTAAAAAGTGGACATACATTTTTGGTCGTCACAAATTTTTCATAACAACGTCGTACAAAATCTTGACATAAGTTTTTTGACATTAAAAAGTGTTAATTTAATCCAGACATCAATTTTTGGCCATTTAAAAATTGAACATAAATTTGTGTTCATTTGAAAACTGGACATAAATATTTGGTCAATTAATAACGTGATGTAAGTATTTAGTCATTGAAACTGGGCATACATTTATTTGCCATACATTTTGTGTAAGTTTTTGTTCTTTAATTTAAAAGCTGGGCATACAGTTTTGGTAATTTGAAAACTAGAAATAAGTTTTTGGTTATTTAAAAACTGCGCACATATTTTCGACGCGTACAGTATAGAATTAACGGTAGCAAGTGGCTGTAGTTTTTCGCCTCATAAAAATATTTATATGCAACAGCTAACGAAGGGTAAAAAATGGGCAAGAAACTTGACACCTTAAAGCAAAAAAAAAAAAAACAGTTCGCTGTATACCACTGAGTCTTAAAGTATTTTTGCAAGGAATTTCTATCCTTTTTTGCCGAACTTAGGGATCGCCTTCCAACATTTTTCGGTGATACCTACATTCGGCAAACATATTTTTTTTTTGAAATGTTAGTTCTACTGGAATAATGGAAATACCTCGTTAGCAAACGTTTAATGCTTTTCCCCTAGCTTTAATATACTAACATTAGGGTGGTACGTTAAAGTGATGAGAACTGAGGTTTGTGTGAATAGTACTAGAACGGGTTCTTGAGCACAAAGAACTTTGCAAAAAAAATCTCCACGAACAGGAACATCGATATATCATTCTTTAAAATCGGACTGCAAATGCAGTAGATATGACGAAGAATGTAAAAAGGCGATGTCTACGTTCTGCCTATTTTGTTTTCGAAATTGCCTTGCAAAAATACTTGCGATTCGACGCTGTAAGACGAACATTTTTTTTTTTTTAAGTCTGTTGGTAGCGGAAAATAGGCACAAATGCACATAAAAGTGATCCNAGCAAAAAAAAAAAAAAACAGTTCGCTGTATACCACTGAGTCTTAAAGTATTTTTGCAAGGAATTTCTATCCTTTTTTGCCGAACTTAGGGATCGCCTTCCAACATTTTTCGGTGATACCTACATTCGGCAAACATATTTTTTTTTTGAAATGTTAGTTCTACTGGAATAATGGAAATACCTCGTTAGCAAACGTTTAATGCTTTTCCCCTAGCTTTAATATACTAACATTAGGGTGGTACGTTAAAGTGATGAGAACTGAGGTTTGTGTGAATAGTACTAGAACGGGGTCTTGAGCACAAAGAACTTTGCAAAAAAAATCTCCACGAACAGGAACATCGATATATCATTCTTTAAAATCGGACTGCAAATGCAGTAGATATGACGAAGAATGTAAAAAGGCGATGTCTACGTTCTGCCTATTTTGTTTTCGAAATTGCCTTGCAAAAATACTTGCGATTCGACGCTGTAAGGCGAACATTTTTTTTTTTAAGTCTGTTGGTAGCGGAAAATAGGCACAAATGCACATAAAAGTAATCAANATATTTTCGACGCGTACAGTATAGAATTAACGGTAGCAAGTGGCTGTAGTTTTTCGCCTCATAAAAATATTTATATGCAACAGCTAACGAAGGGTAAAAAATGGGCAAGAAACTTGACACCTTAAAGCAAAAAAAAAAAAAACAGTTCGCTGTATACCACTGAGTCTTAAAGTATTTTTGCAAGGAATTTCTATCCTTTTTTGCCGAACTTAGGGATCACCTTCCAACATTTTTCGGTGATACCTACATTCGGCAAACATATTTTTTTTTTGAAATGTTAGTTCTACTGGAATAATGGAAATACCTCGTTAGCAAACGTTTAATGCTTTTCCCCTAGCTTTAATATACTAACATTAGGGTGGTACGTTAAAGTGATGAGAACTGAGGTTTGTGTGAATAGTACTAGAACGGGGTCTTGAGCACAAAGAACTTTGCAAAAAAAATCTCCACGAACAGGAACATCGATATATCATTCTTTAAAATCGGACTGCAAATGCAGTAGATATGACGAAGAATGTAAAAAGGCGATGTCTACGTTCTGCCTATTTTGTTTTCGAAATTGCCTTGCAAAAATACTTGCGATTCGACGCTGTAAGACGAACATTTTTTTTTTTTTAAGTCTGTTGGTAGCGGAAAATAGGCACAAATGCACATAAAAGTAATCAAAAAAAAAGTTTATAATGTTAATCACCGTCCGCTTAGTATTTTTCTAAATGAAAACAAAAGAATACCCGTACCTTTTTGTTAAAAACAAAGATACTTAGAACTGCCTCAAATCCCATGAAGTCTTCCATATATTTTATATGGGGAACAACGCTTTTTCGTACAAATGATATAGAATTCTTGAAAATCAATGAAATTTTTCGATCGGAAAGCTCTGTTTCTCTGCAGGAGACTTCCAGTAATAATGCCCAATTGTTTGTTTTACAATTTTTTAATACTAAAATTTTTTTATTTGCATTTGTATTTTTTTTTTGGCGATTTAGGTGACCTATAAAAAATAGTTACTTTATAAAATTGTTAAATAAACAATTAGGTATTGTTAATGTAAGTCTTCCGAAGAGAAACGTGCTTTTTTCTCCATGTAAAATACATAAAAAACTTAATAGGCTTTGAGGCTGTGCTAAGTATCATTAAAAAAAGAAAAAAATCGGGTATCATTTTTTTCCTTTTAGAAAAATCTTAGGGGGTGAGAGCTTATCATTTTAAAATTTTTTCCGCATGTATTTTTGAAACACCTTAATGCACACGCAAGCGTGTGGTACTTGAATGAAACCGTTCGCATTTACTTTTTAAAACTTCAAAACCTAAATTGCATTACTAAATCTATTATGTTGTCGATAACCATAATTTTGTCGATAAATGTAACGGTTGAAACAATATACCAGGTATTATCCGTAAAAAAAAGTTAGTAACTATATCCATAACTATCGATAACTTTTCGGCAAACTTGTCGATAACTATCGATATTTTTTCGACCATTTTATCGATAGCTATCGCTAAAAGTTATATATAGATTTCGAGCTGCACTAGTATTTTATGATTCTATTTCAATCTATCCAGCCCTTTATCAGAAATAGATTTAATATTGCATACTTCTTACGTAGTCATTTATGTATGTAGATATATATGTATATAAGCAAATACGTAGTGCTACTAGAAAGGAATCTATTGCTGTAGTGATTATACGTATTGAAGTAGTATCACTATTAACTATTTTTCCTCACCACCTCTATTTTTATGAGCTTAGTCGTAGCTTTCCACGAATTACCAATCTAATATATTTTTCTATTTTCTCTCTTTTTTTGCCCGTACACCTTGATGATGCCGCTAATCGGCGCAATTCCAATTTGATTGCATTCACCTGAACGCGCCTCGCACACTCACACATACGCACACACAGACAACAGTCGTTGCTCTCGGACGAACAAGCCAAAGAAGTCGAACAGATACTCTCCGCCGCACCGACAGTTGGTGTGGCCGTTGCAGCTGTTGTTGCCACAGCTACTTCGCCAACTAGCATTAAAAGTCTAATCGAAGAAACGCAACCAGAATCACCGCCACCAACAGAGCAGCAGGGCAAAAAGCCAACGACGAAAGCAGCTGCCGCCAAAGTTAGCATTGACATAGCTGGTGACGTACGTGCTGCTCCTGTAAATGCTACCTTAACTGCAAGTGGCGGTTGTAATCCAATAACTGTCGCCAACGAAAGTGTTACCGCCTATAACAAGGCCGACGAAGCGGAAGATGATGATGACGAGGAGGAGGACGACGAGGACGACGGGGATGTCGACATAGTTGGCATTGGCGCCGCACCTGCACACATTTTAAATGCGACCTCCACCAAGGCGGTAGATAGCAGCATCAGTGCTGCAGCAACTAACAAGGCCAACAACAACAATAACCACAACAACAACAACAGCAGCAATACACACGACGACGATGAGCCCGAATGGCTACGTGATGTACTTGAAGCGCCTAATCGCAGTCTAGAGAATTTGCTAATTTCCCGCTGTGCTGGAGTCAACGATAGGAGGCGACATTCATCGGAAAGTCAAGACAGAATTGTGGGTGGTGAAAGTAGTTTTGTTGTTGAAAGTAAACATTCCGACTTGGTGACTGCATCTAAGGTCGAGACTAGTTACGATGCAGACAATGATTCGACACTTTTTATACAACAACAACAACAACAATACGAACAACCACAATCACCCAGCGGTAAGCCAGGCGAACAACAGTCACTTTTGAATCAAACATTTGTGCAACAGGAATCAAGTAGTCCAACGCCACATGGCCAAACGGGCGAATCTCTGCAAGAATCAATTGTTTCGGTTGAGTCAACTCAATCGGATGGTACACTCAATCAGACTACGACCATTGATGACAGCATAATTTCAAGCAAACATAATTCCACTTACTCATTAGCTGAGGGTGAGCTACATTCGATTAATACAAATACAACAACTACTAGTCTTGGTGGCACAGAACTCGACGATTCGCAATACTATATACCAGAGTATCCGCCAGTGAAGAGCAAGGAAGTTTATGTGGAATCCGGAGTGCATTATTTCGAAGATGGCAACTTTTGGATGGAAGTGCCGGGTAAGTTTGGTTTTGAATCTTTTATTGATGTATCTTCGGGTCTGATTAATGATCTTATCATTGAATCCTAATTGTCGGAAAACTTAAGGAAAGCTTACATTTTTGATAGAACTATAATAAATTAAATGTTTCAAAAGATTCTAACTAGTTACGACTGTTTTTACTTTTTGAAACTGACACCGTTTGAATAAAAAAATATGTAGGAAGAAAAATCATTTGTGGGCTTTCGTCGCCTCTCGCTTTGTTCTTGTAGGGGCAGCGGTTTTAAGTACAGGAATGACTCAGAGTGTTAACCGAAAAAGATTGTTGTTTTTTTATTATTATTATTTGGGGATAAAGCACTGCGACCTCAAGATCTATTGAGCCCACTTCATGGATTTACAGCCTGTCTATTAATCCAGTATCCCAGGGAAACTTTAGTATGGAATTTAAACCTACGGATTTCACTTCGCCCTCGGTTATAAAATGTTCACCCAGGACAGCATTCTAAGATGTGCTTTGCACTCTCCATATTCGTCCTGCAAAATCTGTATCGCTTCTGTGAGTAAATTCGCAGTTTAGTCAGGTGATAGTTCAGCCTGCAATGTCCTCTTAGGATTCCTGCAACAATTCTTAAGTTATTCTTGGATAAGCTCATACATTCCTTAAAGCGTCTATAAGTTATATGCTCCTAAAAGTGCTTTGGACTGCTCTAGACCCAGTAGCTATTTCTTTAAGTCTCTTCCTCTAACCGGCTCAGGGCATGAAAGGGGTTGATGCTTCCTTCTTCGCAAGTTCATCAGCAATTCCGTTTCCTTTAATACCAATATATCCAGGAATTCAGAGAACCAAAACTCGATTGGTCAGACCAAGAGTATTCAGCTTATCAAGGCACTCACTCACCAGTTTAGATGTTACCTGATGGGATGTGAGGGCCTTGATAGCCATTTGGCTGTCAGTCAAGATCGCGATGTTCTAATTCCGGTAGTTTCGCTTCATATTAAAGTCCACACATTTCTATGGCGTAGCCTGGCCGCCTGGAAAATGCACATATGTTTTCCCATGGGTTCCTAGTATCTTAACCTCGGTCCAACTACACCGACCCCGGTACCCTCTTCAGGCAATGAGCCATCAGTGTACCAGGTAATCATGTTTTGCTTTATCCGATATCTCCTGGATATGCCTGCCCACCTCTTATTACGTAGAACAGTTGTTGTAACTGCATACAAATTCCCCAAACCGTTTTTAGGGAGCAATGCTGGGGTGGCAGTCCTTGGCCAGATATTAATCTCAGTCGTTCCGCTTACGTAGACCCAACTCTCGAGGGAATAATTCGATCCGAAAGCGTCTGTTGTTTCAGCGATCTAATCCATACGACCCTGCCGCAGCGTAGCTCCATAATCTACTTATTCGTTCTGACCTGGAGTTCAAATCCGGAAACCGATTTCTTCTGCATTGGCTATCGAAGGAGACTTGATGGACCTATGTAAGCCTTCACTGCAAAAAACCCTTGATGCGTTCGTTCTGGCACTGAAATGGTGGACGGCGAATTATTTGAATGGTCGATAGTGTTTATTCGAGACTTATATTTCTAGTTGCTTGGGAACAGCACTGGTTGACTAAGGTAGAAGTGGCTTCGAATTCTTCCTCAGTTTTATTTTGTCAAGACTATGGTTAAAAAGGCGCGCGAGGTCTTTCAAATTTTTCGACTGCCATTTTTGTTTAACTATACTCGAATGTCCCTTAAAAATTGAGGTAGGACTGGTAGTAGAGGTGGCTCTCCTCGATGGATTGTTTACCATATTACAAATCGTTGGTAGCTCTGAATGAACGCTTCCTTGACAGACTATCTTCTGCAGCATAGCTATTTGATCGGTAGCCAGGCCGGAGTATCTAAGTTTCCACTGGATACAATACTCTTGCCTCTTTATAGTCGAGCTTAGCTGTTAAAAAACATTTATCAGTGAGACAAACTTTTCTCCCTGCAGGCTCCTTTGCAGGTTTTATAGTCTCTTTATGTTTGAGCTTGAATGTTTTAAACCCAATTTCATAAAAAATCAAGAAGAAGACTTTAAGACTTTAAATGCTTTATAAATCGAAAATTTGTATCTTATTTTTATGAATAAGGCCGTTAGAATATTAACTTTATGTAGATAAGCATTCGTCAGAAAGATTTTTCTGCTCCCCCTAATCCGTTGAACAGCTGTACTCGTGACGATCTTCTTTATATATCAGCAACTTGAACGCCCATCTATCTGTATTTCATACCCATATGTATATCTGGTGTATAAAGACATGAAACCTAAAAGATCTGGATTTATGATCCACCGCCTTCAACTGCCATCCTGCACCTTACTTTTGTTCGTAACCAGAAAAATAATAAATACCAAATAATTCAGTGAGAAGGAAGAACATTATGTTTACATGTATTTATAAAAAAAAAATATTTATTGGATCAAAAAGTAGCTGGGTAGGCACTGTGGCCAATGGCAATCATCTATTACCACCTCTGCAAGGTTGTACGCCATGCCTAGTCCATATACCATATATTAGGCTGAGCATGTTTTGAAGTGTCATCAACTTATTACTTAAGAAAGTTTTGTTAAATGACACTTGAGAAGTGCATATGCAAAAACCTCCTAGATTTTATAAAGGAAACTTTGGCACATGCAGCAATGCCCATATAGGTTCTAGCATGCATTTAGGCGCTAGGTTTTCGTAGTCGCCTAAAAAAACACTACAATCTTTAAATCGACGGAGGTGCGTTAGATTGTACGAATCCAAATCTTATGGAAGTTGAATGCATGTATTTACTTAGATATTGCCTTCTTTAAAGCAGATTTTGATTGCCTTTAAATATCTGTCGGCTACCATAAGTTCGTTTATCGTTCACTGAACACCACTAATCATTTACTTTCGACTATCTTTTTCACAGGTCTACTCGACTTCGATGACGACGAACTCTCCTATCCGCCAATACCAGTAAAGAAAAATACCAAAGTACGCTTTAGTTCCGGACCCATACAAGTATTTTCAACCTTCTCCGTAACCGATTATGATCGCCGCAATGAAGATGTCGATCCCGTGGCCGCTTCAGCCGAATATGAGCTGGAGAAGCGTGTCGAGAAGATGCATGTCTTCCCGGTGGAATTAATGAAAGGTCCTGAAGGTTTAGGTTTGAGTATAATTGGCATGGGCGTTGGTGCCGATGCTGGACTCGAGAAATTGGGTATATTTGTGAAAACTATTACCGATAACGGTGCAGCAGCACGTGACGGACGCATTCAGGTGAGTTGAAATTTTCAAGTTTTGACACCGAAGGTGTGTACATTATGGCCTGCTCCCTGCGTCCACCTATGAATGTACATGCGTCATCATCAATAACGTGACTGATGGACGTTCTAAATTTCACGAGGTGGACGTGCGGGAGCGCATTTGTACTTGCTTCAGTTAAAACTTTTAAATTTGCTCAGGTTAACGATCAAATCATCGAAGTGGATGGCAAAAGTTTAGTGGGCGTAACACAAGCGTATGCCGCATCGGTGTTACGCAATACATCTGGTCTAGTCAAATTTCAAATTGGACGTGAACGTGATCCGGAAAATTCCGAGGTGGCACAATTGATACGCTTGAGTTTGCAAGCGGATCGCGAAAAGGAAGAACGACTGAAAAGGTGAGGGTGTCCTTTTTTGGTTTTATTTATAAAAGTAAAATTAATATTTGCTTATTATGCTACAGACAACAAGAAGAATATTTACGTCGCACACTCGACTACTCGGAGGACTCCACACAGCCAGTTTCGGCTAATTCTAGTGTCTGCGAGGGACCCTCGAGTCCCGTACAAGTGGAGCATCCAATGGAGGTCGAGGCTACGCACTCACAGGAGGTAGAGTCTCTGAAGAGACTGCTACAGGAGGTATGTAAAATATGGCGCCAATTGGTATTGATTTTTAAACCCCCAAAAAATGTTGGAGTATTTTCAGAGTTTTAATCTTTTTAAACCTTTTATACGTTTCTTTATGTGATTTACTTATGACGTGGATTCACGAAAAATAAACCGAAAACAAACAAAAACATAAAACGATACAAACGTTACGAAAATGCAGCACAAAGCGGTAATTGGTTTGAACGAAATAGTTTAATAACTTTTAGCGAATTCATGTGTCTTTTCGTTTTCGCCCGATTTACTTTTTTTGTTGTTTTTGAAAATTGGAATATATTTAATTTTTGTACAATAACTGTAAATTAATTGCTAGCCATTTTTTTATACACATACTATTATTTCCTTTAATTTTTTTTTTTAGATATTTTGTTGAATGTTCATTTTTTCGTTTGTTTAATTTTTAGAGCGAATTGAGTTGCCTGTTAAAAGACGACATTATTGATACGCTGAAGCGTAAGGTGGGTGTTGTCGCCTTTTGTTTACGCTTTTTTCTTTCTGCTTATTACTAATCATACTCACCACGAATTTAGCTTTCATTTGCATGCTACCATATAATTTAATAAACACTTCCTCATTTCCTTAAATATTAAACTTCCTTCTTCACATTTCTCGCCATCCCATCAGCTCGTCAAATTAGAAACAACCGGCAATGAAAACGAACTGCTCAGCGAACGTTTACGCCAAAGCGAACGCGAGCTAACCAACATCAAGAAAGAGGCTGCAAATCTACAAAATATGCTACAACAATCACAGGGCCAGTACATGGCACTCGACAAGAAGTATAACAAGGCCAAGCGTTTGGTGCGTGAGTATCAACAACGCGAGGTGGATATGTGTCATCGGGAGGAATTCTATCAGCAATTACTGCAAGAGAAGGACACCGAATACAATGCACTCGTGAAGAAGTTGAAAGATCGTGTCATCAATTTGGAACACGAGCTGCAGGAGACACAACGTAAGGCTGGCTTCCCAGTAGGTTTGCCATACGATAGCGCCACGCTCAAATTGACGCCTCAAATGATGCGAAAAGCGCCGCCAAAACCTCTATTCCAGAAACTTGAAACCGAATTGTCGGATACGGAAATTTCCGATCTCTCACCCGATGGCGAGGGTGTGAAAACGGCTACAGTGGAACGTAAAGTACCAATTAAAGACGAATTGGATGCTGCAGTGCCGCAACATGAACTTCTGGATAATTCGGTTACAAAGACCAAAATCGATTTAGGTAAGTCGGAGTGGAAGTGAAATAATTAACTAAAGTTGTATGCAGCATTGCATTTTAAGGAAACTGTTATTTTCTTATACATGTCTAAAAATATTTTGTGAGTTGGAAATGCTTTGGCTTGGTTTCTTTTAAGAATGACTAATAGCTAAAATTTTGTTGGTGGCGGTAATTTTATACGTTTGTGCACAGAATTCGATATTAAAAGTCAAATTTAAAAATAAATCGGCTTAAGATTAAGTACAACCAAATAAAGTAAATAAACAAATACAATAAAGAAGGTAAAAAAATAAATAAATCGAAAAAATAAGTAAAAAAATAAAAATAATGTAAAAAAATAAAAATAATGTAAAAAANTTTTGGAAAAAACGTATTCTTTAGTTTAAACAGCAATGCTTTTTTGTTTACCGAGTAAAACTCAGTTGAACTTGTTAAGCGGTTACACCACACTGACTTGCGAAAAATAGGTAAAGAATTGATTTCTTTTGGAGCGTATAATGAAATTTATTTAAAAAAATTGTATTTCACGTACATATGTATGTATGCACATTAGGGTGATCACGTACCGGTACGTAGCCGGTAGGAGGTTTAGTGGGTTAAAGTCTCACACTGACTGGTTTGGGGTTAAGGCTTTCGGTGCTTCCTCCTCTGAAAAAAAAAACATTAGTGTGATCAAAAAAAAAAGTAAAGTCGAAATTTTAATGCTCTTAAAGCTAATCCGGATTAACGCTGCCGTCTGTTTGAGCTTACTCACTCGGATTGTTCTATGTCGAAATCAAAAAATATTTAGAGGTCGCTCAAAGCGCTCATGTATTTTTTTGTAGCAATGGTTACAGGTTTTAATCGATTCGAATGTCAAAAAAAAATCGATCTCCCAGTATCAAATCATATATTTTGTCAAATAACGCCTTTTACTTAATTTTTACAAAGAAACAACACTGCAATCCGGCAAACACGGAAATCACAAACATTAATTGTAAGTAATTGTTAACGGTTTCAATTTCCAGATTTATCCAAAAGCTTCAGCTTCAAAACCGACTTCAATTCTCATATAAAAATTTAAGAGTACCGTTAATTTCTTCATTATCAAATGATCGGATCTAAACCATGGTACCACCTCTGAGGTACCTTAAAAAAAAAAGAATTATAAAAATCGGTTAACGGGGTCCATATATTATACATATATAAAAAAAAATAAAAAAGTATTCCGACGAATTGATAACCTCCTCCTTTTTTTGAAGTCGGTTAAAAATGTGAGATACCGTTTTTTCTATATTAAGGCAGCGATATGAGAATTTAACATAACTACATAAACTATTAGGCCTACTTAGGGAAACGGTTAATTTTTTTCGATGTTTGATTTTATATCACAAAAGAAAAAAATGTGTGATCTACCTCAAAATTAACCGCTATTTTCAAAAGTGTACGTAAGTGTAAGTGTAGTGTTTTCAATACATATTTTTTCCCCCTCACTATATTTCTTACCTTAATTACCCTTTTTAGAAAAAAATGTAGTCGGCAGTGTAGTCCATTGAATTTTAGTGCCGGTACAACTAATTTGGAAGATATTGGGCTGTTACTGTTGATATGTAGATTTTTATTTTTTTTTTTTTGCTGAAGGTGTTGCTCATTTTCTCTTTGTCAAGTATGCTCAAAATTGTAGTTTTTTTATGTCGAAGAAAATGTGCATGAGCGCCAAGAAGAAAATCTCTAAAAATCGGTAGGAAGTCCGCATAATAAAATGTGGACTTAACTATACTAAAATTCAATGGGCTATACTGCATACAAAAAATTTTTCTAAAAAGGTGAATTAACCAAAATTTTAATGAAATAATCGAATGTCGATTGTCGAATTTTTTGGATATAAAAACCACGACAAAGGATCTTCGTTTTAAAAACGGCATCTTTAGTTTAAAAAAGTCGTTTCGAGCAAAACGCTCAAGAAAAAAGTTCACAGTCTTTCTGCCATTCTTCTTTCTAACTGCTGTAACTTCTGAAGTACTTTGAATTTCGAAATGGGAAAGCGCTTTAAATATTCTTCAGAGTATGTAGAATTTGTAGGTGAAAAAATTTAATTTTTTTATTTTTCCAGTTAACCCCTGAACAAAATAGTGTAACATCTAAAGTGGACAATTTAATAAATAACAGAAATAATTTGAAATAAATAGTAATTAACACAATAAATACAACATAATAATAATAAAAAATTTACAATTCTACTAAATTATGTGCACANTATATTTTTTCTCCTTTGCATTCAAGTACATACATTCATATGTATATATTAATCAGTATATATTTGACTACATATGTACATAACTATAATAGACAATATCTATTCATTCTAATTCATAAAGTCATCTCATTGCAATTTTTAGGTTTTTGTTCTAATTCTATTTGTATTTTTGTATTTTGTACCTTTCTTTCTATATCTCTTTCAATTCAATTGTGCCTGTGTCCCGTTTTGCTGCCATTTTCATATACATACATATATATTGTTGTTTGTGTTGTTGATGTGCTTATGTCCAAAAAAACAAACCAACAAAACAAATCAAAAAAACAAATACACTATTGCCGCCTCAAATTTTGCTGCCGCTTGCCTGCCGCTCAAAATCAAATAAAACACAAAATGCGCCTTCGCTTGCACTACTTTTCAAATCAAAACCAAAAACAAAAAAAAAATATCAACAAAAAAGCATCTCGTGGTGGTTTAGCTAATCGCCAGCTGCCTTCAACAGCGAACAACGGCAACAACAGCACCAGCAATTGCAATACAACCAACGCAGCGGGCAACAACGCTACTAATGCCACCGCCGCCTCCAACACCAATAACAGCCAAATTCATAGCACTACATCCGTCGCCTCCGCCGCCGCCGCCTCCACCACCGCTGGCATCAACATTAACACCAGTCACAGTCACAGCAGCAGCAGTGCCAGTGGCAACAACAGCAATAACAACGGCGTTAAAAGCATCTCTTTTGGCAAGCGCACGCTCAGCAATAGCAGCTCAGATTGCGCGCTCGATGACAGCGAGGATGATGGCACTGCTACTACAGTGGCACATGTGCACGCCAGCGCCGCCTCGGATAGCAATGGACTTTCGAATGGCAGCAGCAGCAATAGTAGCGTTATCCACCGCAATTACTTACAACAGCAGCAGCAGCATCATGCCACCGCCACCAATGGCCATCACAGCGTCACTGCCGGTACAACTACTGCCATTCTGTTGAATTCGACCGCCATTGCGGGCAGTGGTGTTGCAACAGCGCGCGAACAGCAAATCAATCAATTGTATGCGCAAGTGCACAAGGATCATAATAAGACCGGCGTAGCAGCAGCAGCAGCAGCTGCTGGTGTTGGTCATTCCACAATACCGAATATATTTAAGAGTGCCATTGGTTCGCCACCCGACGTAAGCCTGGGCGTTGGCGTGGGCGTGGGCGTGGGCATGGGCTTGGGCAGCAGTGGCGTTAGTGTTGGTGGTGGTGATTTTCATCGCAGCAACATGACTACGTTCGGTACTAGCAATCGTGATCTCAATAGTTCATACGATTCAATTTTAGGCTCAAACGATAAACTCTCCGAGAATGAACAATCATCGGAGAATTGGATGTATCCGAGTCGACGACGAGTCGGACCGACGGGTGCCATCATAAGTGGTAAGATGCCACCTTCATCGTTTACAGAACAACTAAATCAAGCGTTGTCCGAGCGTGAGAGGTGAGTGTAGAAAAATGATTATTATTTTTTTTTTTTATATATTTATTATAGAAAAACCATGGTGAAATTATAAACAGGTGAAGTGTAATAAAGCAGCTTTTTCACTTTATTTTCTTAAATTGCTTGACATTCGACTATCTTATAGAAATTTTTCAAAGCAGATTTTCAAAGAAGATAGTGTAAAATTTTTATTCTCACTCTAATTACTACACCTGATATAATTTCACCATGCAGGTGTCTGAATAGCTAAATAAAGAAAGCCTACTCATTAAATTCATCCTTATATTTCATTTTTTAGTTAGCTCTTTTATATAGCTTAGTTAAGGCTTGATGAAATAATACCTACTAATTCGATAACTGTGAGAATGTATCTTAAATGGGTTAGTATCTAGTTGTCTTGCATTTTTTTCGAATCTAGAAATGTATTCTCGAATATGGGTACATTACCCCGAACGGCATTAAAATAAATTTACGATGCTTTATCTGCAGTGACATTAGCGAAGACTACTTCTAATAGCTAGTTCTAAGAGGCTATTTTTTAAATCAAGGAAGTTAGCTCTATCTTCGTCATCCAGCAACTGTTAATTTTGTTTTCCGGTTTCCAAAAATTGTCTATGCTGTGCAGTCTTTGCTATCAGTATGCATTTATTTGTATATCAATCGACAGAAATATACTAATGGCATAGACAGACTGCAACGTTGATCTGATCAAAATTGTGCCCTGACAGGCAGTTATGCGGATTAGGCGAGCCGCGAGGTTGTGGGTTCGAATACCACGGTCACCAGAATTTTCATTTAATTTTTCTTTAAATCATCCAATTATTATTTTCATTTTTTACCGGTTTCTCGAAAGCAATTTAAGTGAGAAATGATTTTTTACCGGTCAGCCTCCATATTAAATTCAAAAAAATAAAAAAATGATTTTTCACTTAAATTGATTTCGTGAAACTGGCTATTAATGTAATTATTGTTGATGTGGACTTTTTAAATAAAATTAAACTAATTAAAGTTTTAAACTAACCACTAATAAAATAAATACTAATGCAAAATAAAACAAAATGAAGTTAAATAAAAAATACATTAATAAAAGAATCTAAAAAAATAAAACTAAAACAAAAATTAAAAAATGTTTGTAAATCCCACGGAGCGAGGATCTAACTGAATTGAAGTATCCAGCTCTGACCTTTCGGCTTCCATCGGCTTACTTATTTGCATTATTGATTTTCACAGACAACAGTTGGCCGTTTTGGTCGTTTCGCTTAAGTCCCTGGTCTGCGTTCGTTTTGACGATTATCTGTAGGACTCAATCCGGGTCAACTGCAGTTAATTCCCGAGATAATTCCGAATTTTCCTATGCGATTTTGTTCGAATTTAGAATCTAATTAGATCGCTCTCACCCGCTTCGCCTAATGTATAAAGTTTCTGCGTGCTACATTAGGTGTAATTTATTTTAATTAAACTCGACATACTTAAAATATGCGAAAATCAGGAGACTTTACATTTTTTTAATATCTTCAAAATATTTACAAACTAAAACTATATTGAGTGGTTTAATGATAATGTGATAATTTTTCATACTCATGTATATGTAGTTTAGAAATGAAGCAATTTAAAAATCCTTTCGATTGATATCCATATTGTAATAATTCTAGTTGAATTTGAATTTTCCAACATGTGTAGTCCCTGCTATACAAATGTTGCTTAGAAATAAAGCCTTATCAATTATCAATACTCTTCGGATTAAAACCTAGATTGTAATAACTCATTAAACTTATAAAATAATTGTATTCGAATTTAGATTTAAAACAGGTGGCAACTCTCTTCAAAAACCTCAGAAAATTCTACATGTTCAAGCTGAACATTTCTAATTTAAACTCGACTTTTAAAACAGGTTGGGATACATATTCCAATTATCAAATTCCTTTAATTCAAGAAGAATTTAATTTTTTAAATAGGTGGCTACCTTCCTACATGTAGTTAAGAACTAAAACCCTTATCAAAAACCTTTCGATTGATACCCATATTGTAGTAATTCATTTAAATTAAATGAATTTAATTTTTAAACGGGTGGCAACGCTTGTAAAACATCTCACTAATATTTCAATCTGAAGGTATTTTGGCAATCTTTCATTTGACACCCATATATTAATTTTTTAGATAGCTTGCTAATAATTAATTTAACAGGTGGCAACTCTTTCTAAAATACTTTCAAACTACAACTTTTTTAGGCCTCTTGTATACCAAGTTCCTGTACTCTATCAAAAATATTTTCTGAGATATGATATGCGGTATGAAAATTCCGTTTTATGGGAGGTGCCACGCCCCTCGTATAATCGAGATTAAATGTATCCTATATTTTAAGTTGGGCTAAAATGGTACCAGTGTAAAAATTTAATGGGAATCGGTTGGGTAGTTAAAGCTTGAAAGCGTAACAAATAAACAAACTCACTTTCGGATGTATAATATTAGTAAGGATGTACGTTTAATAATTAAAAATATTTGTAAAAAATTTTACCGCTTGATGATGGCGCACCGTGTGTAGAATGAACTAAGTTTACTATCTGAAGAACGAGAAAAGCTAGCGAAATAAATTTAACAGTATTTTAAAGCTTTTCGGGTAAAAAAAAAAATAGTTTCGTTGCAGTTTCGAATGATAAAAAAACACGCATATTAAGTTTTAAAATCGAAAACTCGCTAATTCAAAAACCTCATTAATTCATAAAATATTATTGGTCCCTTGCCATTACAAATTATTGGGCTTTCACTACAGTAGAATTTACTTTTTTGTGCTGATTACACTAGGGAACTATTTTAGAGTTTTTTGTTTTGTTTTATAGAACCTCAACAAAAATATACAGCAGCTTAAAATTTTAATTCTTGGGCGATGAATTCAATTAGCTATTTCACTTGCATAATTCTTGTCTTCAGAAGCCTATAGTAATATTTTGAGCGAATGTTTTTGGTATCCTACCGTTTTGGCGTAGTAATTTTTAAACTGTTTTTTCATCAAAGGTTTTAAAAACATTTTTTTTTTGCCTCACTTTCCAGACGACTTGGCGATGGCTCATCCCGTCACTCCAGCGACGATTACACAGAAATTAACAAAAGCCAAAGCACAGCTGCCATCAATTGTAAGACACTAATCAATGAAATACGACAAGCGGTGAATGAGGCACAGCCAAAAGGTAATTACAAATTAAATAGCTGTTTGATTAAATTGCACAATAATTATCTTTATATTTCCCCCTAATAAGAAAAACGATAAAAAAATAAATGCTATCACTTACCTCTGCCAAACACCTCACAAAATCATACCATAAGCTGCTTATTTATATACCATATAGTATTAAATCATATTAAATCATGTATATGTATGTATATATATTGATTGCTGTGGTTCCTGCTATATACACTTTCTATTATAATTCATACATACAAGCATATATGTACATACATACTCTACAAGTACATATTATAATGTTGCTAGCTGTCGTTTGCATCTAACATTTTTTGCATTCAACTATTTAAGTACATTTCATAAATATTTAATTATGAATTTCGTTACGCTGTATAACGCCATTAATATGTCCTTACCATAGTTGTTTTACGCCTGTAGTATAAGCATTTACGATTTGCTCACCCATATTACCTAACTAGTATTTACTAACCCAAGTATTTTTTGTACTTTCTATTTCTTCACGTTTGCTCTTGTATTTTGATTGATTTATTTATTTTTTTATTGAAAAATTAAAATAAAACAAATCATTTGTTTGATAAATGCTATGCCGCCGCATAACTACGTTTTGGTAAAATACTCGTATAATAATATACCCTTAAATACCTTATAATGCGAATAAAAAAACAAAAAACATTTGCTTATTTATTGTGGTTACGATCAATGTGAATCTTTAATTATGAATTATTGAATGTGCAAATAGTTAAACAAGTTATACCTCAATCACTCTCTCCGCCTGGCACAGTACCATGGCAACAGCAACAACAACAACACCAACAACAACAAGCCACCGGACCGCCATCACCTACCAGCATGTCCTCGGGCTGTTCCTCACCCGGCTATTCGCCCAGTCGTGCCATTGATTTGTCCGGTTCGAGTAGCAGTTTTTCGGATCGCAAAGCAGCCGCCTGCTATAATTACAAAAGTGGACCAGTGCATGAGTGGACCAAAGAGCAAGTAAGTTTTTTAAATTTCGAATGATTATTTCTGTGTTGCGTTAATTTTCCTTTTTTACACTTATCCATTTAAAGGTTGGGCAATGGCTTATGGGCATCGAATTGGAACGTTACATTCCTGTCTTCAAGGAACATAATGTTGAAGGTGGCGCGCTGTTGTCACTCGATTCGAAAGATTTCAAAACACTTGGCGTGAGTGGAGATGATAAACATCGACTGAAGCGACGATTAAAAGATTTGAAGGCGAACATCGAAAAGGAGCGAAAAGATCAGGAACGCGAGCGACGCGAAAGAGAGAAAGCTATACGGAAAGCGGAGAAAAAAGCGGCCAAAAAGAAGTAGAATTAGAAAATATAGAATGCAGAAAAATAGAAAGTTAAAAATAAATATTAATTATTACAAAAAAAAAAAAACAACAAAATAGTAGTTGTAGTAGTCAATAGCAAAGAGTATCTATTAGAACAGTCGATATAATAACGGTAATAGTAAGCAACTACCAAAAATATTTACGTTATTTACTTAGTATAAGAAGCGCGCAGTAATAAGCATGTCAAGGAAGCGAATGAATGAGATAGAGATGGTGGAGGGTGGAGGGTGGCGAGGAAGCATTGAACGTATAAAATATTATTTGTTTTTTTTTTTTCTTTTACATACTATGTACTTGTATTTATACACACACTTTGTATAACTTTGACGTTCATTGATTTCAACTCAAAAGCAAAAGAAAATGAAAGGAGAATCTTTTCTAAGTTATTTATCTCTGATTAAATAAAAAGTTTAATTAAGGTACGAGTATATTCGATTTTTTTAATCAATAAGTAATTTATTATAACTCAAATTCTACAACATCTTTAAAATTAAGATGTTAAGTAAAACATAAAAACAATGACTTGCATAGTTTAAATACATACATACATATGTACGCATAAATCATTTAATGTGTGAGTAAAAAATGATGTTAGGTGAAACGAACAGAAGCAGAAGAACTAAAAAAAAGGGCAACTGAAATCAGAAATTAAAAACGTTCAAATTTTATAACACACGAAATTATTTGACGAGGTAGATTAGCAAGCATGAATAGCAAAACGAAAAGAGGTAAAGAATGAGTGTTAGATCGTTTGCTGAAACACACATACACAAACACTCATAGTTAATTGATGCAACAGAAATTGGCATAAACCGAGAAAAACATAAACAATGGACTGATTTTATGAATAAAATGAATTAATTTAAATATATACTTATATATATATGATATATATATATATATAAACAAACAAGCAAGGAAACTTAACGAGGATTAAACAATTAAATTAATTAATATAAAATCAATATTCTATGAAAAATAATTACTTTTAAACATTAACTCTACTATTTAACGTATGTGTACGTCTAAAATAACTGAAAAAACTGAATTAAGAAAAAAAAAGCAACACAACAACAATGAACACATTTTTCATACACACAAAATGCGATGCAGAATTTCTGTTTATTTTATTTTGTTTTTGAAATTTTTTAACTTAAAAACTGCAAACAGTGACAGTGCTTATGCTCAGCAACACACCCAAAATTACCTTAGTTAGAGTTAATGCTCAGTAAACCACTTTCACCCTAGTAGCATATCTCAGATGTACATATATATAAAACTGAGAATATTTCTTATGTCTAGTAACCGTTTTTTTTTTGTTTTAAACATTCCAAATCCCTTGTGAGATTTGCAATGAATTAGAATCAATTTAAGTTAAAAAGAAATATGAAGTTCCAAAGAGTCCATGCCACCAAGTTTTGCTTCTGTCATGACAGTTCGCTTTTTTAGACAGCTGGGCTAAGGCTTGGGCATAAAAGCAGTTGTGGATAAATATCGATAAATACACATAGACCAAAGCTTCAATATAGGCGTAGTACTCTTTTGAGGTGTAGAATTAAAAATGTGCGAATAGTAAACTGTTTCGCTAAAAATGTGTTTAAAAATTTCGAAAAATGTTAAAAATATTCTTGCTGTTTTTGCGTCAAGGAATCCATTTGGCTGGTGGCAAGAACCGCAAAATGTATCTTAATTAAAAAAAAAAAATCAGAAATTGTACTTTTAAGGGCAAGACAGACCTTTAAAATTACTTTTAAAAGTAAAAATTTTGAATTGGTGTCTTTTTTTAACTAAAAGCAGCATACAATAAACTAAAAAAAAAAATAAATGTGGTTCGGCTCTTGCGACTTTAAATATGGATTTGTTGACGCAATAACACGAAACATGCGATTTTAAAACTTTTTAAAAAGTTCATTCCATTCTGTTTTCAAGTCAATAAAAATTAAGATTTTTTTCCAGGTCATTTTAAAGCATATTTTTTTTTTTATTCTGCGAGACTATTATTCCTTCTCAAAAGCATTAAAAACGCGTTAATTAAAAAAGGTTGAATTTAATTTTTGTATAAATGATCCTCTTGCGATAATTCTTTAAAAAATACTTGTGTTCACTTTTTCTTTATTCTTTTCAACCCTTTTATCGCTAAGGCGTTCTAGGATGTATTCGCCTTCATATTACAGTCGTAACAGTTTTTCTTTTAAGACATACTCTCAAATGCTGCTAGCTGTATCGGACAGTCACTGATTTGTTTAAGGCTTGCTTTCACTATGTCAAATTTGGCGACACACATACATAAATTGTCAAAATAATTGATTTAAACCTTTATCGAGTTAATCTTTGCCAAATGCATTGGTATTATTCCAAAAATAGTTTATACCAAGTGCTAAATTTTTTTCTCTCATTCACTTACTCAACTGATGTCATTGTCATAAGCGCATCGAAATTCCCTTAAAAAGCTGCTTGAGTGGGAACACTCTTAATTCCTTAAACACTCCATAGAATTTTTCATAGTGTAAACAAGCCTTTATACTCGTTTTTGCTGCGTAACAATTTTAAAATCATCGCATAAGCATCACTAGTACTTAAGCTGTGTTTTCATGCTATTGAATAAGTCGGGGAAACAAAAAAATAATAATAATGATAATAATAACTTAGCTATAAGCACATGCTTTCGCTAGAAAATATTTTTCTTTTCAATTTATTAAAAATGCATTCTTATAAACACCTACAATTCAGTTTGTATTTGCATAGATGTGTTCGCAATTCACCCCTACTAATAATAATATCTAATATCAAAATAATTGTTGTCATTGTTGTGTATGTATGTACGGGTAGATATTAAAATGGCATACCCATGTGTAGTATGTGTGTGGTTTATTATTTTTTTCTTTACTTTAAATTTAGTTTTTATTTAACAATATGTACCTATGCATAATTTATTAATAACCGATAGATTTTTTGTTTGTTTTCTTGTTTATATTTAAATTTAATTTGTTCGACTATTTTTGGTTTTGATTAAAGTGAACATTTGAATTATAAAATGTGAAAATATTTAACCTTAAAAAATTTGAATTATTTGTTTTATTTATTTACATATACATGTCTATGGCTATGTGAAGTATGCTCGTTCGTAGCAGAAAAAGTTTTGGGAAAATTGCAGAATTTTCACGGGCCCCTGCATTGATTCTTCTATTTTAGGATATTTACTGGCCGGTACTAATATATAGAGTCATAACCGTGAAAATAACGTAAGCTACTTTTTTTTTAATTTTTTCTGCTCTCAAAACACATAGATGCATTTCTGCATCAATAGAAAATTGTGAAAAGTAATTTCGTCTTATCTTCACGGTCTATATATTGTTGATGAATTCGAAATCTACAAATTTAGTTTATGTAATTCCTTCTTTTTAAATAGGTTAATTTTGAGCAACAATGTTTCGAATACGCCTAAGCTGTAATGTATAACTCTGGTCCTTCAATAGCTCCAAAATTGTGGAATTATTCTCATAATTATTCGCATAGCCCCACAAAAGGAAGGCTGGTGTTAAATTCTTGTTAGTCAATCCAGATCGCCGATGCTTAAAATATTGTTTACCAGAAATTTCTCTCCAAGGTAATAATTCCTGACGGAACACTTGGTATGCTGGTGATCCCATCTCGTGAATGGCAATGCTGGGGCCGGTGTATTTAGATTTAGGTTCCATAAAAGTGCATAGTAGGGTCCATATGTAACGATATTTTAAGCGTAAATCTAAAGAGTGTTAGCTAAAAAAAATATTGGTCGATTTTATTTTGAAAAACAAAAAAAATCAATTCGTATTCCAACTAATGCAAATATTTTGTTCGCTCCTTTGGGACTCTTTTCGGAGTTGTTGTTGTCGTTGTAGCGGCTACAACAACCCCGCCCAGATCGGTTAGTATCTCAGTCGTTGTCGTCAAGTTCCACCAACGGCAGCGCTAAGAAGCGTACAACCTCAATAGGGTCGGTCCACAGAGACAAAGGCGTTAAGGTTGTCGGTTTTTCCGGGAATATGAAGAGATGGTTCGAGTCATGGAGTGTCTCTCCGCATGCCGGACACTCAATTGATCCATCTGCGTTTAGTCTGCTCAGGTATGAGTTTAACCTGTTGCTGTAGCCAGAGCGAAGTTGGGCTATTGTGGTTCTAGTCTCCCGAAGCAGATGAAGCTCCGTCTCGTCAATGTCCGGTGGTTGTGCGCCTAGAACGGCATTCACAGGTCACGAGACAGACTACCTGTGAATGCCCTTCAGGGCCTGTCGATAAGCTGACGGGTCCAGAGGCTGCTTAATGAACATCTGGACTTCGTCCGGCAGTTCATAGAGATGGCTCCTGACGTGCCTGGGCGAGGGCTCTTCTGTTAGCAGTCGCCTATTTGGGCGACCACGTCTATGGCTCCCAACAAGATGGTCCTCTGCAATAACGACACAACTCAAAATTCAAAAAATAAAAGCTCTTACTATTGTTAGGTGGCTCATGTCTATAATACTTGCCTTACCCATGTCTAATCCGTACTACATACTTAAGTAATCCTTACTACTTACTTTAGTAAAGATTGGGCATGGATTCGAAAAGGATTAGAGACATGAGCCACTTAACAGTAGTAAGGGTTTTTTATTTTTTGAATTTTGAGTTGAGGACCATCGATATATATGCGTTTATTTCATTTAAATAGATCAGCGGCAACACTGTTAAAAATATCTCGGTTTCATTGGACACATGTGTACATATTTATATTCTCATTGTATTTTACTTGATCCAATATTTAAGATTTAAAGAAGTTAGCAACTCTACTTAAAAATATTGTCAGATTTGCGTGTTTTAAACATCTACTGCCATACTTAACATTTTAGTTGGCATATATGTATGTATGCAGATATACTGACTTCATTTACAATTTTAGATAGGGGCAACTTATTTGAAAATATTACCGTTTAAAAATATTTCGCACATACATAAGTATACAAATTTAGTCGGATACCCACATTGTAGTAGTTTGATAAATGTGTTTTATTTTTTATACAGGTGGCAACTCTAGTAAAATAAATTTCAAGTAATCGGCTGACTATGGCATATGAATTCATCCGCTATGTGGCTCAGCAGTCCGATTTGATTCACACATATTTGGAATGTATACATATTACCGACATATAAGAAAATAACTCAACAGTTTAGTCGGTAGATGGCATGGGAGTCGAAATATTTCGAAAACCTCTATCTAAGCGCCGATTTAGTTTATATTCAAAATTGTTTTCTTTCAACTACAGAGGGTTAGGAAAAAATTGTATTCAAAGGTTCAAAAAAAAAAAAAAATTGTTTCACCAAACTTTGGTTTTAGAATAAAATTAATTAAATTTATTTTGCAGCCTTTCTATTTAAAAAAATTAAAAATATGTACACTAACGGCGAAAAGTATTGGCACAGGAAATTTTTCACAATATATTCCAAAATTTTCTTCTACAACAAAAAACATAAAAATATTATTAAAAAACTTTTTCTACTTTTTAATCAGATACTAAAGTACAAGTTTTAAGTAGCTAGGTATTACCGTTGATTTTTGGCAATTTTTTTTTCGAAAATACTTT